GGCCCCTTTACTTTCAGTGCAGCAAACTCACTCCAGAAGTTCAGTGAGGATCTTTGAATGATCCAATGTTGTCCTAAATGACTGATGATGATAAATAGAATGCACCTGTGTGTAATCAAGTCTCCGTATAAATGCACCTGCCCTTTGATAGTCTCAGGGTTCTGTTTAAAGCGCAGAGAGAACCATGAAGACAAAGGAACACACCAGGCAAGTCCGAGATACTGTTGTGGAGAAGTTTAAAGCCTGATTTGGATACAAAAAGATTTCCCAAGCTTTAAACATCTCAAGGAGCACTGTGCAAGCAATTATATTGAAATGGAAGGAGTGTCAGACCACTGCAAATCTACCAAGACCCAGCCGTCCCTCCAAACTTTCATCTCAAACAAGGAGAAGACTGATCAGAGATGCAGCCAAGAGGCCCATGATCACTCTGGATGAACTGCAGATAACTACAGCTGAGGTGGGAGAGTCTGTCCATAGGACAACAATCAGTCGTGCACTGCACAAATCTGTCCTTTATGGAAGAGTGGCAAGAAGAAAGCCATTTCTCAAAGATATCCATAAAAAGTCTCGTTTAAAGTTTGCCACAGGCCACCTGGGAGACACACCAAACATGTGGAAGAAGGTGCTCTGGTCAGATGAAACCAAAATCGAACTTTTTGACCAATGCAAAACGATATGTTTGGCGTAAAAGCAACACAGCTCATCACCCTGAACACACCATCCCCACTGTCAAACATAGTGGTGGCAGCATCATGGTTTGGGCCTGCTTTTCTTCAGCAGGGACAGGGAAGATGGCTAAAATTGATGGGAAGATGGATGGAGCCAAATACAGGACCATCCTGGAAGAAAACTTGTTAGAGTCTGCAAAAGACCTGAGACTGGGACGGAGATTTATCTTCCAACAGGACAATGATCCAAAACATAAAGCCAAATCTACAATGGAATGGTTCACAAATAGACGTATCCAGGTGTTAGAATGGCCAAGTCAAAGTCCAGACCTGAATCCAATCGAGAATCTGTGGAAAGAGCTGAAGACTGCTGTTCACAAACGCTCTCCATCCAACCTCACTGAGCTCGAGCTGTTTTGCAAGGAAGAATGGGCAAGAATTCCAGTCTCTCGATGTGCAAAACTGATAGAGACATACCCCAAGCGACTTGCAGCTGTAATTGCAGCAAAAGGTGGCGCTACAAAGTATTAGCGCAAGGGGGCCGAATGATATTGCACGCCCCACTTTTCAGTTTTTTATTTGTTAAAAAAGTTTAAATTATCCAATAAATTTCGTTCCACTTCACGATTGTGTCCCACTTGTTGTTGATTCTTGACAAGAAATTTAATTCTTATATCTTTATGTTTGAAGCTTGAAATGTGGCAAAATGTTGAAAGGTTCAAGGGGGCCGAATACTTTCACAAGGCACTGTATTTGGCCTTCATACACATGCCCAGAGTAGTTTTTTCATTGATTCTGTCAAGCTTTAGATAGAGAGCAATCTGTCTCCTCCCCCCTTGAGAGGCAGTGAAACGCAACTTTCCCTCGTCTTAACAGACATTTTCAACTTGTCACTAAGGAAGTGTACTGTACCGAACAGGTTTAAAGACTCGACCATCATCCCAGTTCCTGTGACATGCCTCAATGACTATAGTCCTGTGGCCCTCACGTCTGTTGTCATGGACTATATTAAGAGCCAGATCCCTGTGAGTGTTAATAATAATAATGCATCAGTTTTATATAGTGCTTGTTTTGACACTCAAAGACACTTCCAAGATGGCGCCCTATTCAAATGAATCGCTTGTGCTCAGTAGCGCATGGGACTTCAAGGGTACCGGAAGATTAGCAGAACTCGCCTATATTTGGGCATCGTCTGGTCCTCCTGGTTCTGTTCAGTGGAGAATCTCCCATGACGCGTTGCGCCAAATACGGGTGTGTGGCTCTCATGCACGTGCACAAAGGGGCTCGGCCGCGCTTTGACCAATCAGAGCTGCAGATCAGAGCAGCTGTAGAGCGGAGTCAGAGCGGGAAGGAAAGGAGAAAAGTCTGTGGCAGTAAAGTGTTGTTTTAAAGAAAACCGAAGGATTTAAGAAGAAAAAAAGTTCTGGATGACAAGGGACACTAAAATCCCCACAAAATACGATCTTTCTGAAAGCTGTAGGTTCTCTGTCAGCTGAGGTCGAGCTGTTTTAGTGTACGTTGAGTTCTATGGGACTTTTTTCTGGGTTGCCCTCATGAATTTAGTATGCTGTACCACGGGCGCCCCCTGTGTCCATGGGTGGGACAGCTATGAGCTAGTAATACCCTATCCAGTCATTATTATATTTTCATGATTTTGAGTGTTTTGCTTTTTAACGTGGTGGGGGAGTTTGAGTACTCAAATGATCCTGGGAGCTATGGTGTCTGGGGCTTCATGCCCCTGGTAGGGTCTCCCATGGCAGACAGGTCTCAGGTGACGAGTCAGACGAAGCGCAGTCCGAAGCCATCATGGACAGCACAATAAGGACAACAGTGACGTCGCCCGGTATGGCGCAGCCGGGGCCCCACCCTGGAGCCAGGCCTGGGGTCGGGGCTCGCAAGCGAGCGCCTGGTGGCCGGGCCTTAGCCCACGGGGCCCGGCCGGGCTCAGCCCGAAGGGATGACGTGGGCAGTCCCTCCTGTGGACCCACCACCTGCAGAGGGGTCCATGGTGGCGCGGTGCAGAGAGGACTGGGCGGCAGTCAAAGGCGGAGACCTCGGCGACCCATTCCGCACACACAACATCTGGCTCTAGGGACATGGAACGTCACCTCACTGGGGGGGAAGGAGCCCGAGCTCGTGAGGGAGGTTGAGCGATACCGACAAGAGATAGTCGGTCTCACCTCCACACACAGCTTGGGCTCTAGAACCTAACTCCTTGAGAGGGGTTGGACGTTCCACTTTTCTGGTGTTTCCACCGGGGAGAGGCGCCAAGCTGGGGTGGCCATTCTCATTGCCCTCCATCTCGGCCGCCATGTGTTGGAGTTCTCCCCAGTGAATGAGAGGGTTGCGTCCCTCCGCCTTTGGGTGGGGGACAAGTCTCTCACTGTTGTGACGGCCTACGGGCCTAACGGCAGTGCAGAGTACCCGGCCTTCTTGGAGTCCTTGGGAGGTGTACTGGACAGTGCACCGCCCGGAGACTCCATTATTCTCCTGGGGGACTTCAACGCCCATGTGGGAAATGCCAGTGACACTTGGAGAGGGGTGATTGGGAAGAACGGCCCCCCTGATCTGAACCCCAGCGGTGTTCAGTTGTTGGACTTCTGTGCCAGTCACAGTTTGTCCATCACGAACACCATGTTCGGGCACAAGGGTGTCCACCAGTGCACGTGGCACCAGGACACCCTAGGCCGGAGGTCAATGATCGACTTTGTTGTTGTATCATCTGACCTTCGACCGCGTGTCTCGGACACTCGGGTGAAGAGACGGGCGGAGCTGTCAACCGATCACCAGCTGGTCTTGAGTTGGATCCGCTGGCAGGGGAGGAAGCCGGTCAAACCTGGCAGACCCAAGCATGTAGTGAGGGTCTGATGGGAACGTCTTGCTGAGCCCCCCGTCAGACGGACTTTCAACTCACACCTCCGGGAGAGCTTCTTCCAAGTCCCGGCGGAGGAGGGGGACATTGAGTCCGAGTGGACCATGTTCTCTTCCTCTCTAGCCGATGCGGCGGCCCGTAGCTGTGATCGCTTTGAGCTTTGGGTTATGACCGAAAGAACGAGATAGCGGATACAAGCGGTCGAAATGAGCTTCCTCCGCAGAGTGGCTGGGCGCCTCCCTGGGGAGGTGTTCCGGGCACGTCCCACTGGGAGGAGGCCCCAGGGAAGACCCAGGACACGCTGGAGGGACTATGTATCTCAGCTGGCCTGGGAACGCCTTGGGGTCCCCCCGGACGAGCTGGAGGAAGTGTGTGCGGATAGGGAAGTCTGGGTGTCTCTGCTTAGACTGCTGCCCCCGCGACCCGGCAACGGATTAAGCGGAAGAAAATGGATGGATGGATGGATGCTTTTGACATTGTACACTCATGATTGTGTGTCTTCCTCTGTCTAACTTGATTATTAGAGGTTCCATATTACTCTTTTCTTCATGCTTCACAGTCCATCATATGCACATGTGTGATCATAATCAATGAATTGCGGTGAGGTTGGTGATTGGTGAGGCATTGACTTCACCCCAATCAGATGTACATATATCATATAAATCAACAGGACCTACAGAGGCTTATTCACAATTTGTTTGGCTACAGCAGAATTGTCATGCCCGCATTGTTGCATACAAAACGCAAAAGTATGAAAAAGCACATTTAAAAGTGTGTTATACCTTATAAATGACCTGCACAGACCAGTTCAGACCAGTTTCATGTTTAAGTCCAGAAAATAGTTTGAGTGTAGATATGTAATCCTCCATTTGGAAATAAATCCAATGAGTTTTAAAAAAGTGAAACAAAACGGGTGTCTCCTCCATAAACTCCTCTCGTATTTCGCTAGCTGCAGCCGAATCTCGGGTGCATCCAATTTCTAAAATCAACCTCTCTTTCTTATTATTCATATCGTCATTGGAACATTACCCTAAGTGCATTTTAAATTATCTTAAAATGTGTTATATGTATGTTAGCCAAACCTGTTGCTGCCCTTAGCAGAACAAGAAAGGAGTTTTCTGATGGAATTGGATGCAGCCGAATTCTGCGCTCACATGCGGCCCCTAGCCTGAGGCTGGCCTCACTTGGTGACATTACAAGTCGTGGTTGAGCGCAATTAAGATCCATATTTGCTGTCAAAAACACAATTTATGAGCCATCCTCTCAACTGTAGATATATAGATTGTAATGGAAATATGTTTGAACTTTGTAAACCGCGATTAACAGAGAAAAAAGGTCGATAGCACTGCACAAGCGTCTCCCACACCGCGCATGTGAGCGCAGAATTCGGCTGCAGCTAGCAAAACACGAGAGGACTTTGGGCAGCACGGTGGCTGAGTGGATAGCACTCCCGCTTCTCAGCAAGAAGGTCCTGGGTTTGAATCCCGCTCGTAACAGGGCCTTTCTGAGTGGAGTTTGCGATCTCTTGCATAGAGGTGATCTCTATGCAAGGACTCCTGCTCTTTTTCCTGAAATTAAAAATGAAAAATACAATTTACCTGTTAAAGCAAGAAATATAAGAATGTAGCTGCATTTGTACCTGTGCTATTTTTGTTTGCAGGGCCTGTTGCTGTTGAACTATCTGCTCCTTTAAAGCTGTGATCTCTGATTTGAGGGAGTCAATTTCTGATTTCGTCTCACAATTAGATTTGAATCCTAAAAAATACAAGGATTACAGTCAATAAGGAGAATGTGTGAACTGAACAAAAAGCCTTAGTCACTTACTGGCTTCATACTCTTCCTGATGGCGTCTTTGTAGATGATTTTGGAGGAAAGTAGCATTAAGAAAAGATTTTTCACAAAGTGGACACTAGAAAAAAGAAAAATAAAGATTAATGTTATACTGTTGAAAGCAGTAAAGTTATGGTAATTGCTTAGTGGTGTTCTCTTTGGCAACTTTTTATATTTTTGATTAATCACAAAAAATATCATCCAACAAAGCTTTCGGCTTTAAAGCATATGTCAACACTCTGGACAGATACGAGTGATGCCGCGGTCGCCTCAGGCAGAGACACACTCCCCCCGTCATAAACACACATCACACGCTACATTTAACACCACAGCTCACAAGTCTGACTTCATTCAATGTTTATCTGGCTGATACTGATATCCTGTTGTCAAATATGGCACGTCTTTTTGTATTAAACAACTGCAGAAGATGTAAATGAATCAAATACATTAAGAAATAAATGAGGTAAAAGTACAAGATTCTACAACGCGAGGAGACTCATGGCTTCTCTATCAATTATTGAGCCACTTGTGTTAGCTGAGCTGCTAGCACACCTAGCAACCTCACGCTGTCAAGACACACTTCAGGAGTTGCCCTGGAAACTGCTTGGCTGGGTTAGAAGTCAAAGTGTATACCAAAATAATAGCAGGTTAGTTTTAAAGAAATTGTGGCTTTGTTAAAGTCAGTAATGCCAGAAGCAGATTTAAATGTGGATGTCTTTAACTTAAATCAAACTCAGACAAAAATAATTAGTTTTTTTAGGGGGGTTTTAGGAATAAATTGAATCTAGTGCTGCCATCTGCTCTGAGGCTTTTAATCCTGTACTTCAAGTTCAAAGCTTATTAAAGCCGTGCCAACAACATGCAGAGTTTAGTATTGTTACATATAGCTATAGTACTGTTATATTGACAATACGCTTAATAATCTTCTGAACTAAAAGGTGTTGCTTCATTTGGAATAAGGTTTTGATATTTTAGCTCCATGCAACTCCACACAAAGCAAGCCATGAATAGATCAATAGAACAATGTCAGGGCAGTGGGGGAGGAGTCGGGTGAGGGAGGGTGAGAGCTGTCAGCTTGCTGCACACACATGTGAAATGGAAATTCATTTAGATTTTCACCATCTCTCACTGTACCTTATAACTGTTGATGTTTGGGGAAAGAAGCCTCTGCTGGGTGCGAATAATCTTCTTTCTCTGTTTTAACTCTTCATTCAGCGTCTTCATCTGTTCTTCTTTTTCCTTTTGCTCAGCTAGCATCTGCACACGTTCTTTATCAGCAGTTGCGAGCTTTTCCTCCATCCCATGCACCTCCAATGTCAGTAACTCCTGGCAGTGATGCAGGTACTCCACAATGAGCTGCGCCAGGCGAATAAGCTTGATCAGAGCCGGGTCTACTGCGCTCTGGCACCGAGGGCAGCGCTCGCCATCCAGGCTGCAGTATGTGACAGCACCGACGTACTCTTGAAGAACCCCCACATCTATCTGACTGACCACCGTGTCGATGTCCAAGGCATTTATACGTCTCCAGTCCACACATTCCCTCCGCTGCTGAAACCTGAAGAGGGGAGCCGTGGAGATGCCGCTGGAAGGAGTCATACCTGGAGCACAATGACCTTTCACAGACTGCTGGCTGTATGGAGAATTAAGCAGGGACGGGATCCCGGCTGAAGAATGGGCCCCTTGGGTCCTGTAGGGGTAGTAGAAGCCCCCTTGAAATGGCTGAAAAAATGGAAGGAGAAATTGCAATTACGCATCCAAAGCAATAATAAAGGATCCTACATTCCAGCACTGCAGAAGCCATCTCTCTAACACGCTGCTCTCCACACACGGCTTTCCTTACCATCTTCCGACTGATGTTGAACGCTTCTACCGACAGCAGGACACCGAGCAGCCGCCGTGCTTCTAACCGTTCCGCCCCCTACGCCGCTGTTACTATGGAAACACACCGGAGCGTCCCTGGAGAGAGCATGTTACCAAAACATGGAGAGCATTAGGGAATGTTTTCATCTGTGTACCTGCAAATACATGGCCCAAGAGGGAACTGGGAACTACAACACGCATGCACACTGCGTCTAATCCTCTGCAAACGTGAAAACTTCAGCGTGTTCCTTGCAGATTGGCGAGAGAATACAATCGTAGTCATGGAGAGGACTTTTAAATAACTCGCTTGACCTTAACAATGCTTTCCGTGCATGCACCAACACGTCTGGGCCCATTAAACCCATCTTGAGTAACAAAGACAGAACTTTTATCTGTGCATAAACGTAATCCAAAGTTAGCATATTAGCTTGCTTTTCGCCCATAATTAATTACGTGCCATGCTAGCTAACGGAGATCTTCAGCGTGTAAACAGCAGAACATACGGCCTCTAAAAAAGACAGAAAGATAACTTTGTAATGATAATAACACGCAGGTGCTGTTGTTAATGCATCACAGTATTTTTAAAAGTAGCTATATAACTTACCGTAGAGTTGTTCGTGGTTTAGAAAAGTTTTTCTTCTTAAAAACAGGACCCCGGGCGTTTCAGGGTGACGTCGGAGGGCTCCACATTCCTAAATCCGTGCTCACAAAACTCAAGTTCACACGGTCGCGAAACTAACATCCGGTATGTTCTTTACAAAATAAAATAGCTATCAAGTGAGAAATACTCGTTTATCATTAACTACTGCAATTATGACGGTTGATATCGTATAACCCAGGGGTCACCAATTAAAAGTCAGTTGGGTCAAAAAAAAACAGCAACAACCATTGAAGGTCCGGAATGTTTTTGTTTTTTTAATAATCATATAATTTCAAACATTTACATCAATACCACCAAAAATGTTGGTATTTGAAAAGTGCTTCAAATAATAAATATGAAAGAAAATAACATTTTTAGTATCAAAATAGAACTCTAAAATAAAGTGCTTGTTGCAACATAGAAAAGCAAAAATACTTTCCAAGTCGGTGAATTTGACAACTAAAAAATACACCTTTTATAAAACACCTGAACTGATTGCATTTAGTCGCTAATGAGAGAAGTGGGCTACTTGCTGCCCTGCAAGAATTTTAAACCTGGGATTGAAAGATGACAAAGCCATTCTCAAGCACATGTCAAGATGTTCATTGGTGAGCCTGGAACGATATTTATTTTTGATCACATTCATCGTGGAGAATGCTGCTTCACAGCAGTAGGTTGAGCCAAACATACTCAAAATGTGCAGGGCAGCCTTTTTCAGAGTTGGGAACGCTGTCTCTGAGACTATTTGGATCCAGAAAGATGCAGCATCACTTCCTCCAATTTGCCCTTTTAGTACAACATTGGACTGAAGATCTGCAAGTTCCAGCTGAAGAGCTCCTGCATTTGCCCAGCTGAAAGTGTCACTTGCTTCCTTTGAAAATCCTCTGATGTCAGTGATAAGGAATGGATTCTGAAAAAACAAACTGAGCTGTTCTCCCAGAGTGAAACTGTCAAAACGCTTCCCAAAATTGGTAATCAGTTTTTCCACAAAATCAACAAAACTGGACTTGTCACCCCTGATTTGTTCCTTGACAGCAGGGAAGTGTGTGCAGTCTCCCTGCAGGTCTCCTTTAAACAGCTCCAGCTTTCTCTGGAATGCATGGACATCTGTCATCAGATCACAGACTGAATGGTCCTTGCCTTGTAGTTTTAAATTCAGTTGATTCAGGTGTGATGTGATATCAACCAAGAATGCTACATGATCCATCTTCTCCATATCCCTCAGAAACAAAAGAAATGGCGTTGCCTTTTGGCTCTTAAGTTGTCCCAAGAAACTTTCGATTTCTTTTCTAATGGACCAAAAGCGCTCCAACACTCTGCCTTTACTGAGCCATCTAACATTATTGTGGAGCAGGAGGTCATCTGCATTTGCTTCAACTTCTTTGAGGAACTCTCTGAGGAGACTGTTGCAGAGAAGAAGATGCCCGGAGAAAGTTAATCATTTTCATCATTGTGCTCATCACATCTGCATACTGATCTGAAAGTATGGCACATAGGACTGATTGGTGTATTATGCAATGGTAAGAGATAAGTCCAGGGTGGTCTTCTCTCATTCTTGCCACAGCTCCCCTTTCTCTCCCTAACATGGCTGGAGCTCCATCTGTTGTTATTGAAAACAACTTTTCTCACATCTATTCCCCTTTCTGTTAACATCTTCTTTATTGCTTTGTAGATGTCTTCTCCTCTTGTGTTGCTCTCCAGGGTTGCTACTCCTAACAGGTCCTCAAACATTTTCTTTTCCTCTTTGTTAAAAAATCTTACAAAAACTACAAGCTGGGCATTGTCAGTTCTATCAGTGGACTCATCTACAGCCAAACCTATGCATTCTGCCTTTTTAATCGCTTCATCAAGCTGTGCCAGTACATCACGTGTTACAATTTGTGTTTTATGTGTGGCTGATGAAGCTGACAGAGGAATTTGCTGTTTTTTTTGACAGAGCTCTTCTTTTTGCTTTCCATCAAGTAATGTCTCAGTAACTGCACTCATACATTCTTTGACAACCATTGCATCGCTGAATGACTTTTTGTGTTGACCCAATATCCACGCAATTCTCAGAGAACACTCATTAGCGCGTTGCTGAGCAGTGAATGTTTGGACCATAATCCTGGAGGACCGAGCATATTGTGCCTTTAAATCGGCTATTTTCTGCGACCGAATGGCTGAGCTCTGGGGATATGTGTGGGAAAACGTGGAGTGCTTCGTCTCATAGTGCCGCTTTATATTGCTGCTTTTGATGAGAGCGACAGTCTCGGAGCAAATGAGACACACGGGTTTTGCGCTGTCAGCAGGTAAAACGAACAAGTACGTGTCAGTCCATTCTTGTTTAAAAACTCTGTTTTCCGCGTCTACCTTCCTCTGTTTTGAGCACGCCATTTCACTTTTCTCTCGCGTGTTCGCGCTGCTGATCACTCTCCGTCTTCGCCTGTTTCGCTGCCTGCTTCTCTCTGACTTGCCGGTGTTTAAAAATAGCTAGCACTGGCAGCAGCACTACGCGCCACACAGTTCATTGGCTGATCGAATCACGTGTGGTCCCTGGCTGAAGGGACGCCCCGCCCGGTCGGCCCTCACCAACACCAGAAGGAGCGGCGCAAAATGAAGTTAGAATAGACGCGGTTGGAAAGCCTGCATTATTATTATTAATATTTTTAAAGCAGGTTTGGGCCCGGATCGGATGGGTTGGGGGTCCGGATCCGGACCGAGGTCCGCCGTTTAACGACCTCTGGTATAACCCTTTCTGTCTATTGACAAAAATGCGATTTGACGCCAACAAGGACAGGTTTAAGCTAACAAAACGCAACGTGCATTTATTTTGTTGACCAAATCGATGTCTGTATCCGGTATAGTTGACGCGCGCTTGATGAAATCTCCAGGATAAAGGGGGAAGGGAGAAAATCGTGGGGCTTTGACAAGGGGTGTCTGGAACAGCGGGTTGGCAGCATGGATCTATGGTTGCATAAAGGGGTTAATTTATACTGTCTATAAAGGGGCTATTTAACACGCACGCGCAGAGATTTACAAATACACACGCACGCAAGATGGGATTTGGTGATGGCACCTCAACAATATTTCAACAATAGTTTATATTAGACTTATCATACGTTAAAAAACTGCATGGTTTATGTGGTCCTCTGTTGTTGCTTTATTTACTTAATTAGCATGTGAGTAGTTATTATCTTGTTGGTATTTTAGCAATTATTTGTATTTTGTGTTTTAATAAAAATATAGCTGTATCAAAAATGTTTGATCCATTTTTTAGAATCAAGTTGGCAGACTTGATTATTGTGATATTATATTTTACCTTTAGTTTCGGTGCAGCACGAATAATTAAAAAAAATTCAACATGAATTGGAATGGACAGGATACAAACACAATAATTTCACGAGCATCAAAATACATTTGAGTGATTATCACCATGCTAAATAAATTAGATCTGATATGACGATAACAGATGATTAATACCATTGTGCAGACAAGGGAGAAAATAGAAGACGTTTGAGTTACTGTATATTTTTGGCCAGCAGGTGTCAGCAGATAGGTACAAACCTCGGGGCAGCTGCTGTTGGAGCTTTGGTCCTCTGTGTGCAAATGCTGTGAGTAGCTGTAGGAGGCAGGAGTCCCTTTTAAATAGATGCAAGGATCAGCAGGGGTGGATGCACACACCTGAACACAACACACACACATTATACAAATAGTTGTCTTGTCTCATCAATTGAGTTATTTAAAGGCAAACTAAACCAATAATAGTTACATATAAAAAGAGCAATTTTCTTTGATGTAAAATGCACTAAAAGAAAGTGCAGTTTATTCTAACATCATTGTCACCACAACACGTCCCAGCATGTCGAACTCTCAGACAAAGTCCCAGTGCTATAAGAGGCTGACTCTGTGCCATTTTCCCTGCCAGTCCCCAGACGCTCCAGTCGACGCTTGATAAATAGATATTTTAATTCTTGTGGACAGGGATTGTGACTGTCAGTGTAGCCTGGGGCAGACAGGGGAGAAGCTCTCAGGCGCTGTCCAGTGTAAAGACACCCAGCTCGCACCAGCCGCATCACAATGAGGGGAACAAGTTCATCTGCTGGACAACACATTCAGGATTATTGAAAGTGAAAATTAACATTACTTTAAATAGCTATCACCCCAAAACTCGACCATAAACACTTTCATTTCAATAATATTCTATTTCTAATTATCTATTTCAGCTATTCTTTGTAATGCATTTGCCTTTCAAAAAATCAGTTATACAGATCCACCGAGTAGCAGCAGAATAATGCATTATCAATAAGTAACTGCTTCTACAGTGCTAATGAGAAAAAAATCCATCTTAATATTCTCACTTGCTTAATAGATTGAGTTTATGTGCAAGAATTCTACTTCAGTAAAGGGCAGATGCCAATACATGTAAATGGGATAAGCATAGGAAAGACGTTTTCAAATGTCTTCAAAAACGTTTGATATAGATTTGATTCACAAAACCCACCATGCTATTCTTTCCACTGGCCAACACCAGATGTTTCTTGAATATTGTCACAGATTCTCGTCACCTTTATGAGAAAATAGTCGATACGCACCGACACAGAAGAGCCCTGAACCAAGACCAAAATTCTGACTGTTAACATAAATACAAGGAAATATTTAACTGCCCTCCAAAGTTATGTTAAACTATAGGCTCTTTGAAAAGTTTGCGATACATGGACGCAGCCTATTGCATAATTACTGCCATACTCACTAAATTACACATAAGATATAGGTTGACACATCCAATACGCTGAAAGACCAAGGCTGTTTCACCACTGACAGAGCAGCCATCTTCCTGTGGACTCACCCCCTGCAGAGGATCAGAGGGACTGGTGTTATGAGCATTGGGTGGCAGCTCTCATTGCCACCCCCCTGACCCAGAAATGGACAATAAAGGGCTTGAAAATGAAATGATGAAATGACATCCAATACAGCAAGCTCGTGCATTTGTCTGTGCTTGTGTCCCACTGAACACTGGAATTGCAGTAAACACAAAGTTCCTGTTTTTAAATCTGTGCCCATCCGTGGCCAGTTGGCATCCATCTGCTGGAGTTTCCCACCTCTGCTGATGCTCCTGTTCCCACACTGTAAGCCTGCAGGCCAGAGTTAAGATTTTTTTGGGTGCGATAAGTGGGAAAGACACGCGTTACAGAAAAGTGCAGCGTTGCATTAGTCACACAGCAAAGAAGCTGGTTCTTGTGTGGAGGAAGAGGACCGGACCTCTTGAGATGAGTAAGCACAGCCCTACACTCAATTTACTGCTTGATTTACGAGTTCATTTCCTGCTCCAAGTTCTCAGCGGGGGTGAGGTGGTATATCTTCCGCACTATAGGTAGCACTGGCTCCACTTCCCAATCCTCCTGAGACCCACTCACGCCACTCTGGGCCCAAGCAAGACTATAAATAATGGCCACCACAGTAACAAACAGAGTAAACGAAGAGGCTAAACTATCTGTATTCATGAACGCCATGCTGATGATCATAGCCAGGGAAGAGTTTGGGGTTTCCTTTGAGGAGATCAGAGACAACTTTTTGTGAGAAGTGCTGATGTCTTAATGCACTGAGCAGCAAAGAGAGATGGGCCACTGCACAAACGGCACCAAACGACAATCTCCAACGCCCGACCGGTTTTTATCTCAGACACTTTGTTGTCTATTTCGAACGAGGCAGCGGTAGGGGTCACAAGTGGTGAATCAGGCTTGTGGGAAGAAGAGATGAAAGAGCGATGGGGAGGGGAGCAGGCGAGAGGCATCCCATCGTTTGCTTTCATTGTCCCCAATGAATGCTGCGCAGGTCAGATGAGTTACCGCTGTTCAAGAATTATATATATATGAGCAGACAAATAACTGTTTTCGCTCTGATTTTTCTCCTTCTCCTACTGAGCCGGGAGCCCTTTGCGCCGTCAGGCCAATCAGTCACCACAGCAGCAGCAGCAGCAGCAGCAGCAGCAGCAGCAGCAGCAGCAGCAGCAGCAGGAGCAGCAGGAGCAGCAGCAGCAGCAGCAGCAGCAGCAGCAGATCTTTCCGACCAAGCGCTAATGGAGATTGAAAACATCGACGTAATGTAGAAAATCACAAGTTTCTAAGTATAACATGCTCGTCAATGGGGTAACCAAGCAACTAAATTAAGGCTTTACATTCATAAAATCAATCCATTTCTCATCGGGGGTAAATTAAAGAATGAATGTGTGAAATGTTAACTTCTGCTTGGCTTTTATTGATAATGTGTGTTTTCAAGCAGATTGCAGAAGTAGTTGAGGGTTGAATATGAACATGTTTTAAGGAAGAAGTGGTTCTTACAGTAAACTCTACTTACACTGCAAAAATGATACAATAGGATCTAATAATTACTTTAATCTTTTTTGGGTTCATTCTGACAAGATTTCTATCATGTATAATTGATTCCTGTTTATAAGCTTGAAATAAATACAATCAATCAAACCAATCAAGATTTGCCAACAGGACAATTTCAATAACTGTTGCTTGAGACGTGTAATGGTGTACGTGGGCGGCAAGGTGGCTGAGCAAGGAGGTCCTGGGTTCGAATCCCGGTCGGAACAGGGCCTTTCTGAGTGGAGTTTGCATGTTCTCCCCGTGTCTGCGTAGGTTTCCTCCGGGTGCTGTAAAATGCACTATATAAATAATCATTACTTACTGCATTTTCAAAAAACAAGGAAAATGTGTTCAAATGAAAATACATTTTGCCCAATTCTACCAATGTTTGATTATTGCTCATCACCTTTTGCAGTGCACCTGGTTTTAAATGTAGGGAACAATATTATTATAAATACAATTGTTGCAAAGAATAGTGCTTCAACATTTAATTTTGTGACAGGTTAAGTGTTTGTAACCTACATTGTTAGTCTTTAAAACTAAATAAAACCTAGAACACACAACTGGAATGTTTTTTTACCTGATCTACCTCAAACACAACTCTCTTTAATTATTTTATGTTTTGAATTGAATATGTCCACTTGCTTTTACCTTAAACAGGAACCATACCTCATTTTCATTTTAAATTACATCTACATCTTTTATGTGTGTCTCCATAAATAGGTCCACAGGCACACATCCCATTTGGCCTTTTATCAATAAACGTTTACCGCCTTAATTAAAAATACAAGAAGAAAGAAGATCATCCAATCAGAGATGAATGTGTTTCCCATTTGGAGAGCCAGTAATTCACATATAATCTTTCTTTCTTTAAATCAACAAAATTCAAACCAAAAATGGGACCACACATTAATCTAAGGCAGAGCAGGACCTGGTTAATGCTGTGAGGGGAGACCTCTGGGTACACCAGGGGCCACAGTGGAGCAAACGGTTGTTGTGTCCTTAGGCAAGACACTTAACCCACATTGGCTGTAGAATGGGTCTGCCGTGAGGGCGACTTGCTGATGATGGCCGCACATAACGGTGGCCTCGCTTCTGTCAGTGTGCCCCAGGGCAGCTGTGGCTACAACAGTAGTTTATCGCCCCAGTGTATTGAGTGAAAGAATGAGGTGTCGTTAAATATCCAAAAAAGCTCTGTATAAAAAACTGATGCTGTAATTCAGTTTTTTGCAGTGTTTCTAGCTAAACCCCAGCAGGAGATTTGCATAATCAGTGTTTAGGAGCTACATGTGTCATAGCGGGGATTATTTGGATAGTGTTGCTAATGACTTTATTAGACTGGTGAGATGTTACATACGGCCCCTTTAAGATGCTGAACTACAGCTCTGGTTATAGTTCAAGTAAAGTACTGCTTCATTTTTAATTAAAGTTAATGCTTTCTGTACAATCACAGCCACGCGACGCTTGTGTAACAGCACATGACAGGCGCTAAAACAGAACGCACTTGTAATGAGCAAGTTCGGGAATTAAACCCCATTTTAGAGGCGTCTGGGAACTCCATAGTGTAAAATCCACTCTTAAAAGCCAACGCTAAAGTAAATTAAAAGCTAACACACCCCTCTCAATTATTGCACCATTACAAGTTGCTTGCAAAGGCCCAGTTATTCCCTAAATAACTTGTGGTCGCGGAGTATTTTTTATTTTATTTTTATTTTTTATACCTTTATTTAACCAGGAAAGTCCCATTGAGATTAAGAACCTCTTTTTCTAGGAAGTCCTGGACAAAAGTTACATACATTAAAGATTATAAAACAGTTACATACTATTTCATAAAATTACGGATTATAAAAAACAGTTACATTCCAATGAGGACGTCTCAAGTACTCTCAAAAAAAGCATTCAATAAAATAAGTTCAGATAATTTCCCGTCGACACGTTCCATGTAGAAGGAGCAGCATGCGCAAAAGCTTTTTAGCCCAGTTCTGTGCGGGCAAAAGGAACAGAGAGCAACAAAAGATAATTTGATCCAAACCATATGAACCAACATCTCTTTGTGTGAGTAATTGTAGCAGCTCGAGTCCTGACTAGAACCAGGAAGTACGACCACATTAGTCCAGTCCTCAGGTCTCTGCACTGGCTTCCTGTGGCTCAGAGAATAGACTTTAAAACAGCTCTGCTTGTTACAAGTCTCTCCATGGCCTCGCACCAAAATATATTAGTGACATGTTAGTCCCATATGAACCAGCCCGGACTCTGAGGAGCACAGGGACTGGACTCCTGCTGGGACTCTGAGGAGCACAGGGACTGGACTCCTGTTGGGACTCTGAGGAGCACAGGGACTGGACTCCTGCTGGGACTCTGAGGAGCACAGGGACTGGACTCCTGCTGGGACTCTGAGGAGCACAGGGACTGGACTCCTGCTGGGACTCAGAGGGAGCACAGGGACTGGACTCCTGCTGGGACTCTGAGGAGCACAGGGACTGGACTCCTGCTGGGACTCTGAGGAGCACAGGGACTGGACTCCTGCTGGGACTCTGAGGAGCACAGGGACTGGACTCCTGCTGGGACTCTGAGGAGCACAGGGACTGGACTCCTGCTGGGACTCTGAGGAGCACAGGGACTGGACTCCTGTTAGTGCCCAGAGTCAGAACTAAACATGGGGAGGCTGCTTTTCAGATTCATGCTGCTAAAATCTGGAACAGTCTTCCTGAAGATGTGAGACAGGCCTCCTCTCTGACAATGTTTAAAACCAGGTTAAAGACAGTTCTGTTTAGCTGTGCATACAACTGAGGGATTTTATATTTTTATCTTTTTAATGTACTGTGACTATTTATGATTTTAATGCTTTCTTGTTTTGTTCAACACTTTGAGTTGCCTTGTGTATGAATTGTGCTATACAAATAAAGTTGCCTTGCCCAATTGGCAGATATAAGAGGGCAGCAGACCAAGCATAGCCTTATAAACAAAAGTGCAGCAGTGTCCAAACCTTCTGTGGACTAAGACGGCCATGTCACTCGAGAATATAATTCACACAGTGGTGAGTCAAGGCTTTGCAGTTCGTAATGAACCTCAGACCATTTATTGAAGTCATTTGACCTCCTATTTGTAGAATAAACACACAGACGGAAGAGAATAAACAATCGGCAGTTACTTAACGGAAGAGTTGTTGTAATGATTAAAAATATGGATTTGTCCCTCATTGAAAGTCCTTCCAAAAAAAAAAAAAAAAACACCTGTGAGGCAATTTGCGGCAAATTAACCAAATAGCCACCACCTCTGTTTTTACAGAGAGACATGCATTTGTCCAGGCCCAGCGAGCTGCAGGAGGTGCTGAGATACAAGTCTGTCAGTGATGTGGAAGCAGCTTTTAACTATCACAGAACGATCTCATTCCAGTCTCACTCCGATCGCAGCAGCGCCTCGATAAACCAGCACCTTGTTATGACATTAGCATTTAAAGCAGTCATCATTTCTACGTCATTGCACTCCTGATTCCTTACCTGCAAGATCTAATTATGCCTCTCGCAGTATTGAGTAACAAGGCAATTACATGCAACGAGACGACAAGAATGTGACACTTATTTGAACGATATGAGTGTGACGTTATAGCAGCAGACTTGAAAGCAGTGATTTGTGTTTAATGATGGAAGGCGAGTACTCGTATTCAAAAGGGAGCGACATTGAAAGTGTTTGGTGGCCCTATTAGAGACTAAATGTTACTTTTGACAGTTGGTACAAATGAGCGAGTGAGCCGGAAAGAGGAGAGGAGATAACTGTCGCTCTTTTTGAGCTATGGCAGCCGTCCAATGCATAGCTTCTTTGTATTCGGCGGGCACCTCGTTTTTGTGTCAGCGCGGGACAAGAGAATCACTTAACGTGACATTTAGAGATGCTCGCAGATTCTCTCAGGAGGCCACGAGGAGAGAGAAAAGAAGCAATGATGTTATCTCAGACATGTGTTTTAAATGCCAGGAGGGGTTGCGCTTCTGAACAGGACGCCGGCCACAGAGATAAGAGAATCAGCCGGCCACCTCTTCACCGGTTCTGGGGCTCAGGCTAAGCTCACCCTGAAATGGTTTCATCTCCTTTCGATCAGATATGATCTTTTAAGGGCTTACAGAACAATCTTCTTTAGCTTGTACATTAGGGCTGCTGTTATCCCAGAGAGAAATCCACACGTACACGGTGCATTTTAAATAGTGGCCAAGAAAAGGGACACTCTGAGCTTTGAGTGGGCGACAGGCTTTCTGCGAAGTCTCAAATCTTAACCAGATGGTAGTAATGCTCGTCTTTACAGTGGATCACAGCCATTTTAATGAATCTCACTACTCTAAAAATGAAAAATCTACCTTCCATTAATTCCAGATCCACTTTGACAAAGCTTTATCCTGGAGGGACCTCTACAACAAGACAACATGAATATGTAACAGGTAGCAAAAGGTCACCGCTCTTATGGACAAAGAGATTGAACTAATCAATCATTATTTCACAGTGAAATGTGCCCAATTAAAAGCAAACCTAGAGGCAAGGAATACAAAGGGCCAGGGTAATTATATTCAAAGAAATATCAACGTTTAAATATGTGTTTTTAATAAACAAATCCCGGGAATGTGAGCTAGCATATTTTGCAAGTCAAATGACCACAGGCTATCTATCTAACAAATGAGCGAAGCTGTATTTTTCCTCATGTGGGCTTTGTACGCAGC